CATGACAAACAGTGTGACAAAGTGGCAGTCACAATGGTAGCACCAAATCAAAATACCAGTGGTAATGCAGCTGTTACACAGGTAAATTTTGTTCTTTGTGTGTATTCCCTGAGCATTATAATGTATTCAGGAATGTCTTACAGAGATAATTTGCAAGCCAGTTGTTCAGACTGGTTATGTTGCATATTTTGTTTGTGAGAGGGAGTGTAGAGTTTCATGGCATCAAAGGTTTTGCTCATATCTGTTGTAATGAGTAGGGTATGCATGAATAGAAACCATCTTGCATCAGTGTGGTAGGTCTAAAAGTAGTACTGTTGAGTGGTGTGGTGTGCTACTGACCTGTACAATGAGACATTCAAGGACTAGCTGGTCTCAGAGCAGTGTTGATGAGTCTGTAATAGGCAGCTTCTTTCCATTGGTCTTTGTTGCATTTGAGAAGGGGAAAGATTTTTTTTACAAGTTTTACCAACTTTTTAAGACTGTGGGTACTTTGCAATGTTGGTATGATATTTTAGCTGGTCTTGTCTAGATGTCTTGATAATCAAGGTATTTGAGATGTAACATGTGGCATATGAATGTTTTTATTGCTCTTTTTTTTAATAGAAAAGATGATATTGTTGTGTTGTTACTGTATTAATGTGAAAGTGCAAGTTTATTTTCTGTGCTATGTGGTAAGTGGCATGTAAGTGGTGCATTTGGTGTATGCCACTGCTATGCTTTAAATTGTTATGTCTGTAGTTTTTTTTTTTTTAGAAATCACATTTGGAGGAAACTCAAACTTGTTACATAACTGATATAATTATATTACCCACCTTTTTTGTCATTCAAGTTATTTCCTAATACTGAATCCACCTGAATTTTTTTTTTCTATTTTGCTTATTGCTTCATGGCATAAAATTCCACTGTTTACAACTCCACATACACTTATTCCAACTGATGATGGCATGTGAACTCTAACAGAAATTTTCCTTCATTTCCCAAGGTCCAGGTCCTGGATCCCCTTGCCATTGCAACAGCTGCATCTGGCCTAAAAGAGGAAGAAGGGGTGACCTGTGGAAACAGCTTGGCATTGTCGCACACACAGCCTGCAACCAGCTCATCCGCTGCCATGGAAGAGGTTAGATCATTGGTGTACTGTCTGTTTGGTTGATACTTATGTATTGTCAGTAAGCTGATGAATAGGGAGCTATTATATGTTGGTTGCTCTCTCTCCTGCCAGAATATAGGTTTTTGATATTTAGTTGCTACCATGTTTATGTGGCAGTGAATGAATTTTCCAATACAGGAGTGTAAATTAAACTCATCCTCACATTTTCATGGTTAAATATTCCAGGTTGGAAATGGCATGATTGGAGGCCCACAATATATCACTGTTGGCAGCCAGCAAGCAGTCACAATACCTGTGGTTGGGGGCATGCAGGGACACATGCCTCCAATTGGTCATGTGGTGCAGGTAGGGTTTTTTCTTCATGTGTATAAAATTACATATACATCCCACTATATCACACTATATGTTAATGTTTAAATATCATTATAGTTTCCTTTTGGTGTCTTATAGGTTTATATGGTTCTTGTATTTGATTTATCAATTTTTTGTTACTTTTACTAGACACAACAGGTTATAAAATGTAGTTATGTAGCAGTTAGGATGTAAATGGTTAAACTGCCTTATTACTTAAAATGAGAAGTTGAGTAAGAGTGAATGAAAAGAAATACATGAAAGACATTTCTTTGTATTACATTAACCTTTCATCAATCTTTGTTCTCTGTAGGTATCTGGTTCAACTGTACCTCTCACAAGCGTTGGCACAGCCCTTGCTGCAGGTGGAACGTCAGTACAGGCTGTGCAGACTGTACAGGCGGTACAAGCAGTGCAAGCTATCCCTGGCGTGACCACAGCTGAATACTCTGTCCAAACCTTACCTCCACAGGCAGTCCATGCAGCACAGGGTTACATATTTGCACAAGGTTTTGATATGGTCAGCAGTGGCATTCAGTACTGATGAACTAACGTACCTTATGTGGAGCTATGTGAGAGATTTTTATTTCTCTTTTTTTCTGTGATCATGTGGTTACTGTTTGATGTTTAAAGTAAAACAAGAATCCATATTAATGTAGATGAAGATGAACAATAAATTTTGTAAGATATCTGCATTTCTTTAATTATCAGATCAAATGCATGTAATAAAGAAGTGAGTATGAAAAGGTGCAAATAATCAATATAGAAAAATCAGGATATAAGGCAATCACCAGCATGGTGACATGAGTGGAATTTGATTGTTTAAATCATAGTCAGAGAGTTCTTAAAGAATAAAGGTGTATTTCTAGGGGCCTAACATACTTGGTATAAAAGAAAGAAGTATATGCTGTGAGGCAAAGAAGCACCTTCAAATAAAAACAAAAATGAAAGCTTGGTAATGTGTGTGCAAAGATAAAATTAAAAAAACACAATAACATTTAATATTCCTTTTTAACTACTAGATATATTTTTATAATAAAACTACACAAATTCATGTGATATTTATACCTCCTATAGTCCAGATATGACAAGATTAAGTGCATACACATTATCTGCTTCCAAATCATGCACAAAATTAAATAGAAACATTTATTATGATAGTAATTGTACACAAACAAATTAATTAAAAAACAATCATGGAGAAGTAAATACCATAATATTTATCACAAGTTGAAAATTATAAATTAATTTCTTACATATAAAATTACAATGAAAATTAAGCATTCAGTTTTCTTTTCTTCTTTTCACTTCATATCACCAAAGAGGAATTTGATCAGGGAAAAGATATCAATCACAACATTGGCAGGAGGACTGATACCAAAAAGTTTGAGAACCGTGGATCAAAATGAACACAGTTAATTGTCAATTTTTTCTCATTCTTTGTTTTTTATGTGCATTTCACCTGAGAATATTTTCTAAATTACATACTGAACAAATTTATGATACATTCTTTTTTTAATCATAAAACCTTTTTATCCTCTTTTGAAAGTCACACCTGTGGAATGTCTATAAGTCAAACTGATGTCAAATGCACTTCAGAATGAGTGATTTATAAGAAAAGATGGTAACCTTTTCATTTCATTTAAAAGAGTAACACTCAAGAAATGTCTACACTGAGGAGAGACAGATCTTGTTACTATGTATAAAATTACACTAGAAAATAAATAAATTTAGACAAGATTTTTTTTTTTTTGGGGGGGAGGGGGTGAATTCAATAGTACTATTACCAGGTTCATAGGAATAATAATATAGGTATGTGTTTTCACACATTTTCCATATCTATCTATCTATCTATCTATCTATCTATCTATCTCTCTCTCTCTCTCTCTCTCTCTCTCTCTCTCTCTCTCTCTCTCTCTCTCTCTCTCTCTCTCTCTCTCTCCCCTTCTATTTTACATTCCCTCTCTTTCTTCCTCCCTCTGCCTCCCAGAGGAGAAACTCCAAAGGTCGTTATGGTCTTTCATATATTTGGACCATCTTCAGAATGTTCTCTGGTATTTTCTTTATTTTGCCATCTTCTCTTTTTGTATTCACTTTTATTTTGATATTTTCCATTTATCTTTTATTCCATTGCTTATTTCAAGGTATCTTGTATTACCTAAACCTACTGCATGGTTTCTCTGTCTTCAATAATTTCAATGTAAAGTTGTTATTTTGTATGAGCTGCAGTGTATAATGTATTTTAAACACATTTCATACCACGTACTTATTTTATTCTAAAAGCATACAATGAAAATATCAACATTCACATCCAAATACACAAATCACAGACATAAACAAAATAAATATCACACATTTCTTATCAAATCTATAAATGTACAACACTAAAAACATACCGGTAGCATAATCATGAGCAACTCCATTTTCACATTATCATAACTTTTCACTTAAATTCTTGCATTGCGTTTCAACATCTTTCTTGTATCGAAGTGCTTCTTCTTGCTTCCAGCTGATGTGTCCAACAGCTGCCTGACAAATCCGTACTAAAAACTCTATGCCCAATGTCTTTCTATCTTTGACATGTTGTTTCAGTGTCGATAGCCTGTAACAGAATGGCAGCAATTTAATGTATTGGATAGATAATTACAGCCGTGGGTTTGGTCATGGGGAATTCCAACATGGATTATTAGTTTAATAGCAAGCCTATAAACTGGCACACATACACACATACACATACACATACATATACACATACACATTCACATTCACATTCACACATACACACACAGAGTGAGTGAGTGACTGAGTGGGTGGGTGAGTGCGTAATCTATGTAATCTATGATCATTTCATAAATTTGTCAGCAAAAGTCAAACCTATAGGAAAATTATTAAACATTGCAGCACGGCAAAGGAGAAACTTTATTTTCTAATTTCAAAACCAGAGTAGAATTCAGGTTCTGCTGATATGGACTATCTTTGTTACTCCTTTAGGAAAATAGATTCTCCATAAAAGCCCTAAATAGGTGTAAGTAATCAAAGGGTACACAACAGCATCAAAAATATTAAAACCATCAAATAAAGAATTTCTCAAGAATAAAACATTAAGAGCCTTTGAAGAAATTTAAAATGCAATTAGCATCAATAGGCTTACTCATTTACAAATGCAAAACTAATCAATACAGAAATATCCATGAATATTCTAATTACTTACTCTTCTCTAGCAAGGTTCATTTCACTTTCCTTCTTGTGGACCGATACTCTGACTGTCTTGCGAAGTTCGTAAATCTGCTGCTGGTATCTGTCCAATATTTGCAAAAATTCACTCTCCTTTTGGGTAAGAGAGTAAAAGAGTTACAAATAAATTCATGAAATAATATAGTAGTGTGCTCAATATCTACATCAGATGATTACTCATTAGTATTTAGTGCTTTAAGAACCACCCGAGTCACGTTTCTGAACCGAGTCCCATGCTTTGATAGGCCTTGTATGTATTTCCGCTGAATATCACTTACTGAATATTGATAACTATGCTTTGGAGGAATCAGTCAATCAAAGATTTACTTACCTCAACCTCAATATCATTTTTGGTTATTTTGATATCTTGGTCTATGAACAGAATCTTGTTTTGGAGTTTTGCTAATTCATTCTTTTTGTCCTGTAAAATTTCTTCATTCTGCAGTTACACAAAAGAAAGGTATTCCATTACTCTCTAAATCTAAATAAAATACACACAAAAAAATATATGTGTGTATATATACATATGATGTAAAACAGAATAAATATGAGCATTTTGTTACTATATGAGTCAAAATATATCTTAACTAACCAAATTCAAAGAAAGATTATATAAAACAAAGATTTTAAAAAATAACAAGAAACTTCCAAGAAAGACACTAAAAGACAAAAGAAAATCTGAAGGAACAAATAACACATGGCTGAAAGCAAGAGATAAAATTAATAATAATAATGAGAACCTTCCAAGACAGACCCTACAAGACAAAAGAAAAACTGAATTAGCATCTGTAGGTACTGTAGGTGAGACAAAATCCAGTATTCCATGGACCCTGTGGTGGCTCCTTATCTAAATAAAGAATATATCAACCTAAGAAGATTTACCATTAACAAAAGACAATTAATCTGAATATTGTTAAAAGGAACTCCTATAAAGGAAGAATATCAAGTTCCAAAGTAATGTAATAGTTAGAAAAAGAAACACCACCCTTCATGAGAAAGTATAATAACAAATTACAGACAAAGAAAGAGAGCTTCATAATACATAGTTATTCTATAAAAGTGGTAAAAAAAAAAATCATAAAATTATAAAGAGTATATATACTAAGAACAATACATCACCCAAGCTGCGTCATATGTACCATTTAATCACAAAACTATAAAAACTATATATATATATAAACTATAATCATAAAACTGTGCACTTCTCATAAGAAATAGGTATTACACAAATATTATAACATTTAGTAATTTCATACAATAAGGACTATACAGATAGTCCCCTACTTAAGAACATTCTACTTATGAACATTCCATACATACAAACAAAATTTTTTAAGTACTAAAGTCCAAAAAATAGTTTGAAAGATGCTAGCAAACTTCAAATTTCCCATGCGTGAATATAGTTCAAGAGTCTGGTACTGTATAAGGTATGTCGTTTGTATGTCTAGACCCGACTTTTGACATACAAACAAATCAACTTACAAACAGCCTCTCGGTCCCCATTATGTTCTTAAGTTGGGGACTTACTGTACCTACATTTTCGATTATTTCTCACCATAACGTTCTCCTCATCCTGGCTCATGACTCTGTTCTCCATCTCATAAGTTGCTTGCCGGATTGCTTTCTTCTTTTCCCTCAGCATGTTCAACAAATCCACCTTCCAGAAACTGATGCTGCCTCGAAGATCAATCAAGTCGATTTCATATTCTTGGGGAAGGTCCAGTGAGCGTGCAAGGTTGTTGTAAGTCCCAGCAACATCGCTCACTCTCTTTTGCGCTTTGCCAGTCTCCATCTCCAAGTTCCAGATCTGGTGAAGAGTCATTATACTTTTTTTTTTTTTTTTTTTTTTTTTTTTATCCAGGTGAAGATACACATGACAGGTTGGTGATTACTGTCTGGAGGGAACATGCTTGTATTTTAAATACTTATCACCAACCAAGCAGCCTATTGTCAATTATCAACAACTGGTCAAGCAGACCTTTGCATCAATAAAAATCAAAACACAATTTTAAGACTCTTATCTTGGAACTGAATTCCCCAGTAGTAATCAGTAGCATATCAGTTAGTGTTGCAGTATTCATTCTAACAGCAATAAAAAACAAAAACAAAAGCCACATCTGACAATACCCTTGACAAACACACACACACAAACGGAAACCCAAAACACCCCTAACCTGCGCATCAAGATCGCTGCCCAGGGCCTGGAAGTGAGATATCTTGGCAGCAACATCACTAGCATGGTTCTTGTAGCGAGACAGCTCCTCACTACTCAGGGCTTGGTGCGTGTGGAGTCTTTCCAGATTTTCTATTTCTTCATACACCTATTATAATAAAACAAATATACATCATAATCATCTACTAAATATAATAACTAGTATCTATTAGCATTTACATGAGAAAAAAAAAAAATAGACATGTGTATATGTATGCAAGTACATTACATATACATATATATATATATATATATATATATATATATATATATATATATATATATATATATATATATATATATATATATATATATATATATATATATATAATTTATATACATATATATATAATTTATATATATATATATATAATTTATATATATATATATAATATTTATATATATATATATAATATTTATATATATATATATAATTTATATATATATATATAATTTATATATATATATATAATTTATATATATATATATATATATATATATATATATATATATATATATATATATATATATATATATATATATACATATATACATATATATATATATATATATATATATATATATATATATATATATATATATATATATATATATATATATATATATATATATATATATATATATATATATATATAATTTATATATATATATATATATATATATATATATATATATATATATATATATATATATATATATATATATATATATATATATATAATTTATATATATATATATATATATATATATATATATATATATATATATAATTTATATATATATATATAATTTATATATATATATATAATTTATATATATATATATATATATATATATATATATATATATATATATATATATATATATATATATATATATATATATATATATATATATATATATAAATATATATATATATATATAATATATATATATATATATATATATATATATATATATATATATATATATATAATTTATATATATATATAATTTATATATATATATATA